CTGCAGGTTGCTACGCTGCCCCTCTCCCATGGCGTGTGCTGGAGGGGGGTCCTTGGGTCGGCAGGAGCCCGACGGGCTGGCCAGAGCGGGGGCCAAGCAGGAGGGTGGTGGGCAGATCTGTTCCCATTGGGTCTGCACTGAGCGCTTCTTCAGCCTTCCCCTGGCTCTTGTGTTCTCTCTGCTCTCCGGGCAGCTCTGACTGCTCCCTTCTCATCTTCCACCCAGTTCCAGTGGATGGCCTGAAGAACCAGAAGCTTTTTGATGAACTTCGCATGAATTACATCAAGGAACTTGACCGCATCATCGCTTGCAAGAGGAAGAACCCTACCTCCTGCTCCCGGCGATTTTACCAGCTCACCAAGGTCCTGGACTCCGTGCATCCTGTAAGAGAGCGCAGTGCAATGCCGTGTCTGTACACATAGGGAACGCTTTACTGTGAGAGTGGTCGTTCCCTGGAGCAGCCCCGCTGGGGTGGTGGCGGTCCCCATCGCCTGGGGTTTCCAGGAGGCGGCTGGACAGGGCACTGGAGGGTCTCAGCCGGGCTCCCGTTCCCAGGGAGGGCTGGACCAGGTGATCTTCTGAGGTCCTTCCCAGCCTGGGCCGTTCCACGATTCTGTGATTCTTTGTGGTTTGTTTTTTCACTCTTGGCACGCCCGTGCAGGACAGCATCGCCGCACGCTCCGGGGTTAAGCGGCAGAGAGGAGAGAGGCGCTGGCTGCCCCGGGCGCGGAGTTACCCGTGTCTGCTGCTCCCTGCGGTGACCGCGCTTGTGCGTGGGTTTGCGGGCTTCCTTTTTTAGCGATGAAAAGCTCTTTGTAGACGATGCTTTTCCATCGTCAGCCTAGCAGAACGGCTCAAAATCTCAGTGCCCCCAGTGAATCTTTTCTGATTGCAGGAGGGGAACCAAATTCTCTGTTTGTGACTTAAAGTCGTACTGGGGAAACGTGAGCTGGACCTTTCCCGGGGCTCAGCTCCGTGCCCATGCAGTTAGGTGTCTGCAAGCAAAAAGCAATTTTTAGTAAGTGCAGTCAGCGGCATATGCACAGTCAGACGCGTCTCTGTAGGAGTAAGCGCTGGTTTTATACATCCCCTGCTCTGTGGGACTGGGTAGTGTGCAGGGCCGTGCCAAAATACACCCCGTGCTGCCAGGCTGGGCCGTTCCCTCGCTCGTCCTTGGGATGCCTGGCTGCCATCTGGTGGCTGCTTGCCGGGCAGCGATGGCCGGGGGGCAAAGGTGGTCCCCCTGCAGCCAGGCCCGGCCCTGACCTGCAGTGCCTGCTCACGTCGGCTCGGTCTCTTCCCAGAGAGATCGCTGACCAGGGACGCCTCGCTTAACAAACTTTCTTCCTTTCCCAGATTGCCAAGGATCTGCACCAGTTTACATTTGACCTTTTAATTAAGGCACATATGGTCAGCGTGGACTACCCTGAAATGATGGCTGAGATCATCTCTGTGCAGGTTCCCAAGATCCTCTCTGGAAAAGTCAAGCCTATCTACTTCCACGCACAGTGATCTTCCTGAGGGACCTCCCGGCTCTGCCACCCCACTGCAGCCATCTCCTGCCTGTTATTTCTGCACTACTGTACTGCAGTGCCTTGGGGAATCCCCGCTCCGGGGCGGCGTGCCACTGCGGCGGACAGTGGCAAACGACTACCTGCTGGGATTCCGGAGCTCTCTCTTTGTCCCGAGGTACCTCTGAGCTGAACGACCCGGCTTCTGCCCCGCTGTGGCTTCTGCCCCGCTGTGGCTGCCTCGCTGGGCTGGGACGGGGGCTGTGGCACGGCGGCGGCGGCACCGTGCCTGCCCTCTCTTGCCTGCGAGTTTTCCACAGTGACTTTTAGCGGCCCAGGGCCACGGGAGATCGGGAGAAATGCCAGCAGTTGTTGGGGTTGGGTTTGCTTTTATTTTTTTTAAACAGACAAGCAGCGGGTTGTACCTATAAGCTCGGGTGTGGGTTGCTTTGCCGGCCTCCTTCAGGACTTTTTGTTTGCGCTATGGTGCTGGGAAGCAGACGAGCTAAAATATTGCAGCAGAGAAGCAGCGAAGAGTTGGGGGGACGGGATGCGTGTGCAGCCTGATGAATTTACAGGCCCTGCTGCTGGGTCAGGCAGCCACCGCGCAGCCGCGGCGGGGCCTGCTCCGGCCACCGCGCCGATGCCACCTGCGG